ATATTTTTACAATAGCAGTTGAAAAATAAAATAAATATATAGTCACAATTGTTTTTTATAAGCATTCAAAGTTTGAATTTTGACAACATATGTAAAAGTCACGAAAATAAAGAAAATTCGCAAATTATTTTAAACTAGAAATGCATAAAAAATTTGTCTTTTTAAATCTATGATTTGAACATTTTTAATAATCTATAATATATCCTAGACAGATAAACCGTTTCCGCTCAGAATCGTTTTTCGTATACAATGATATAATAATAATATCATTGGATTCAAATTTAATTCCATCCATAACAGTAACCTACTGACCACTTGTAACCTACTGTACAGCAGAGCGACATCCACGACTTACCCSCTTTTTTTTTTATTTGTGGTTAGACCACAGACTATATATTATATATTATTATTATTATATATTACTCTATGGGTTCGAACTCTTGATTAAGATTAACAGTTATAATTTCTTATCAAGGGATCCAATTCTTATCACAGGGGCCTAACTGTAACCCATCCCTACTCATTACTCAAGTAGTCAAGTATCATTTTCGAATCACTCAAAAAAAATTTCCAAATGTGTATCCAATTATTATAAATATTATTTATTTTAATAATTTAATTGCTAGACCCATTTTTTGTTTTTATTTATTTAATATTTATGTCACAGAATAAATATATTTTGTAATAAGTGTAGAACCCCCCGACATATATCCCATTATGTCATTGAACTTGCAATCACACACCATCAGCCAAAGAAAAAGTTTAAAATTAAAAGGTACAAAAACGTCAGTGACTAAAAATCAAATTTTAATTTCTACTGGAATAGTATCATTAGACGCAGTTTTGGGTAAGGAATTAAATATGAACAATATTTCATATTTACTTATAATATGAGTTACGATAAATCTTCTTCTTTTCCTTCGCCTTCTTTACCAACTTTTTGGGTTAGGTTAGGTTAACCTAACCTTCGGCTATCCTGGTCTTCAATTTCCACTTACTGAGATCCTTAGCATTCTCCTCACAAACACCAGTCATTTTCATATCGCACTCTATAACTTCAAACCATCTCTTTTTCGGTCTTCCTCTTCCTCTTTTTCAATCCACACTCATGTTCTTTGTCACTGAAACTGCCTCAGTTTTTTCTCTTCTTAAAACATTTACTAGCCATCATAACCTATTCTCACACAATTTGTCAACTATTGGAGCCACTCCTATTCTATCTCTTATATACTCATTTCTTATTCTAGTTACGATAAATATGTTGTTAAAATTTAAAAAAAAATTCATAACAAATTAATTTTTTTCTTCAATTATTGGTTTGGTTTAGATGGAGGTATTCCAATAGGCACTGTGGCTCTTGTCGGTAAGTATTGACAACTTTTTTTATGTATACTATACTTAGGCTACATACATAATATTATGATGATAACTATTTACTTCAAATATATTTTTTTAATTACATCCTTATTGCATTTGGACATTATTTTAATTGGATTATTATTATTTTTCCTTGTAGAAGAAGAAAATTATGGCCTAAATGCAGATTTGGTAACAAAACATTTTATAGCTGAAGGAGTTGTATGTGATCATTCTATTTTAATTGTTGATGTCGAAAAGAAACCAGAAGCAATTGTAATTTTTTTTATTCTGTTGTTTACTATGAATAAATTAATATTATTTTTTTTTAGAATTCCAAATAGCAACTACATAACTTAACTATGAATTGTCTAACTTGCTTATTGTTTTAGGCAAATGATTTACCAAAACCAATTCAAGAAGATAGTTTTCAACCAACTGATGTTATTGCTGAGGATTTTAAAATAGCTTGGCGCTATAGTCAAAATCCTATATATGACTCTAAACCACATCATACATCAATATCTTTTGGACATACATTTGATATGTCAGCTAAAATTCCTGTTGATGAATTACCAAATATTAGATATTGGCCTGGTAAAAAATCACAAGGTACCCTTATTTTTTCACAAAACATGATATTTTCCACGCTCTTATTAAKCCATAAACAATACTTTAAAAAATTAAATTTTTACAGAGTTATCTAATTAATCAAATACAATGTTATGATAATTTGTTAATTTTTAACTATTTAACAATTTGAACTATTTTGTACTCTGATAGTTATAGGAATAGTACATTTATTAATATAAAATAAAATTAGCCCAATATATTATTTAAAAAAAATTATTTAATTGATGCGTATAGTCATTATGTAAGTTATTTTTGAGCATTATTTTGTTTTTATTTCACCCCCAGGTACCAGTTACTCCGAGCTACTAGAACACATAAATTCAATTATAATTAAAGATGGGTTTAGTACAAAAATTCCTGTTGAACAAAGACGGGTGTTAAGAATAACAATTAGTAATTTTTATTCACCAATTTGGGATTCTAATGATATGGATGTGGTTACATTTTTGTACAAGCTTAGAATTCTTGTTCGTTCTTCGTATGCTACTTGTCTTATAACATGTCGAGCTCATATAATTGATGATGTAAGAATTTATTTGTTTATTTTCTTAATATTTAATCTAATACTTAATCAAAATAACATATTGTTTTTGTTTGTTTTTTTAGTTGATTAAATGTCGAATAGAACATTTTGTGGATACAGTACTTATCTTCAAACCAATGGATTTAAGTTCATGTGCGGACTATAATGGGAAGCTTATAATTGGTAAATTAGCGTCATTTAACACCTTTTTATATGAACCTCTGTCTGTAGATTGGGCTACAAAACTCACAAGAAAAAAGCTATGCATTGAGGTATTATAAATATTTTAAACCAAGCACTTAAAGACYTTGAACAATGTTATATTATCTAATAATGATGATTATGCATATCACCAGAGCTATGAATTTCATGATTGAATATCAATCGCTTTAAGTAAAAATAAAAAATAATTTTTCAGTAAAAACAAATTTGATCTTAATTT